GCCAGTAGAGCTCTCCAGCTCTACTCCTTGGGCATGTTCCTTCTTCTCTCTGGACCTAAGTCTCTTGCTCCGTAAAAGATTGGCCCTACCCAGAGCCACTTGCCTGCCTCAAGGGTTGCTGGGAGGACTGGATGGTAATTGAGGGCCTCTTGGAAGAGATGGCACTGAGAATATAGGTGGGGTCCCCTGCAGATGAGTCCAACACCATCCACTTGAAGGTGATTGAGCAGCGGCCTGACCCTCCTGTGGCCCAGGAGTATGATGTACCTGTCTTTACCAAGGACAAGGAGGATTTCTTCAACTCACAGTGGGACCTCACCACACAACAGGTGTGCTAGCCCTCTCTGGCTGTCAACCCCTGGAGCTGGCCACAGCCCTGCCTTCATTCCACCCCTACTTACCCTACTCCACCCTGCCCAGATCCTGCCCTACATTGATGGTTTCCGCCACGTCCAGAAGATCTCAGCCGAGGCAGACGTGGAGCTCAACCTGGTGCGCATTGCCATCCAGAACCTGCTGTGAGTGGGGCAACAGTCATGCTCAGGATAGGGTCGTTGCCAGCCAGGAAGAGCCAAGGGGCCTAGTGTGGGAGCTGGGAAGGCATGGGTCTTGCAAGCTGAGCACAGCTATCTCCCCCAGGTACTATGGCGTTGTGACACTGGTGTCCATCCTCCAGGTAGGTGAGTCTGGGGTCTGACTAAGTGGAGAATGGATCACGTGGCTGAGCCTAACTGAGGCTGTGTCAGACTTCCAAACCCCTCACTCAGGCCCCTGTGCCTCCTGCTACCCTCCAGTACTCCAATGTATACTGCCCGACACCCAAGGTCCAGGACCTGGTAGATGACAAGTCCCTGCAGGAGGCGTGTCTATCCTACGTGACCAAGCAAGGTACTGGTAGGCTCTGGGGGAGGCCATGTCAGGGAGGGCAGGGCCATCTGGAGAGCTGACCCCTGATGCCTACAGGGCACAAGAGGGCCAGTCTCCGGGATGTGTTCCAGCTGTACTGCAGCCTGAGCCCTGGCACTACTGTGAGAGATCTCATTGGCCGCCACCCCCAACAGCTGCAGCACGTTGATGAACGGTCAGAGGGGGATCCCCTGGGGCATGAGGGATTTGCCTGAGGGCAGGCATACTCTCTGTGTCTCTCCGGAGCCCTGGGTAAGAGAGAAAGCAAGAGATTCGCAGTGAACAGAATCACATGGCACTGCTACTCCAGGAAGGCTTCCTGGAGGTGACAGATTTAGAAGCCAGTCTGGTCACTGAGACAAAACTGGAGGGGAGACTGACCTGGCTAGGAGGAGGCCTAGCCAGGGCATCACCCCTCTCTCCCTCAACCCTCACCCCAGGAAGCTGATCCAGTTTGGGCTTATGAAGAACCTCATCCGACGACTACAGAAGTATCCTGTGCGGGTGTCTCGGGAGGAGCGGAGCCACCCTGCCAGGCTTTACACAGGCTGCCACAGCTACGATGAGATCTGCTGCAAGACAGGTAGAGGCAGGCAGAACAGGTGAGGTGTGGTCAGGGCAGGGTGGCCAAGCCAAGGCTGCTGACCTTACCTCCACCGCATCACCCAGGCATGAGCTACCAGGAGCTGGATGAACGGCTGGAAAATGACCCCAATATCATCATCTGCTGGAAGTGAGGCTGGTGAGGGCTGGCCCAGGCACACAGCTGTGACTGCTGTCTCCTGCTAAGCCCTGCCTGGTGCGTGAGGGCTAGACCAGCAAACTAGCCCATACTGCCTTAAGGTTGATGCACACTTCTGTAAATAAAGTCATCCATTTCAACCTACCTTTATTGAGTACTGCCTCTGAGCCAGCCACCGGAGAGAACCTTCGGGAATGGAATAGCCATAGTCCTGGCGTCCTGGGGCGCCATCTGGTGGGCAGGACCGACAATGGACAAGTAAAAGTGCCAGCTAATTACAAACTGAAAGAAACAATCAGGAAGCTGTGATGAAGAGTGAGTTGGGATGGCTGCTCTGGATTAGATGGGCAAGGAAGGCCTAGCTGAGCTGACTTAAACTGAACCCTGAAGGAGAAGGAGTATTCCAGGCAAAAGTAACAAGCGAAAAAGCCCTGAAGCAAAAGGCTCCTTGGGATGTATGTGGAAGCCAAGGGAGGCCCATGGGGCTGGAACTTAGGAGTCAAGTGGGAGTGGGGCAAGAAACAAAGTCCTGAGGTAGGAGAAGGTGCAAGAGCCTGATACTGCAGAGTTGCCGGTAAGCTGCTTTGGACACAGTATTTTGATTTTGAGGGCCAGAGGCAGCCAGATTCACCCTCATGCGAGGGAGTAATGTCTCACATACACCTTTAAAGACTTCTGCTACTCAGCAAAGTCAAGGCCACGGTAGTTACCTCATGAGAGGTAATGGCAGCCTGGAATAGGATGAAGAGAAGTTGTGAGCCCTGATCAGTATTTCGCGAGTGGAGCCAACAAGGTGGAGCTGGGAGCGAGGAGACCACGGAGAGGCGCATCAGTGTGGGCTGAGAGGGAGCAGCTGCAGGGAGAGTTGGTGGGGGTCGGACCGACTTGACGTCCGTCGGAGGAGGGAGCCTAGGCCACAAGAGTCTAGAATTAAGGGAGACCCGTGAGCCACAGCCGGTTGTGAGGGCGAAAGCCCCAGAAGTTCAGGGAGGGTTGCTACCTGCCGTCTGGCGGTTCTGGGCGCTGCGCCGGCGGCCGCCAGGGGCTGCCCAGGCAGCACTGCGCAGGCGCCGAGCTAACCGTTTCCATGGCGGCGAGGACCCACGCGCCCCAACCGCTCCACAACGGTCCGGTCCCGGATTTCGGCCCCGCGGGAGACAGTGGTCCGCAAGCGTGTCAGCGCCTCAATCTCAGCTCCAGCTACTTCCCGCAGTCAGCGGGACCCCGCCTTCTTGCTCTCTGTTCTTGGCGCCGACATGTGCGACCTGGAGCTGCTGCTGCCCGGGGAGGCTGACGTGTTGGTGCGGGGACTGCGCAGCTTCCAGCTGCGCGAGATGGGCTCCCAAGGGTGAGGCAGCTGGATCCAGGTCAGGCGTCCTTGAGTCGGGGAGTATGGGCCTGACACTTGGGGGGAAGGGCCCCCAGGTGTAGAGGTAACCTGAGTCACCTCTGACGCTCAGGATCGGGTTAGGCTTCAATAGGACCTAGTCCCCACCCCCACTCTTACCACACATGTGCTCTCACATGTGCTCACACCCTGTCTGGGGCAGGTGGAACCAGCAGCATGAGAATCTGGAGAAGCTGAATATGCAGGCCATTCTTGATGCCACAGCCAGCCAGGGCGAGCCCATCCAGGAGCTGCTGGTCACTCATGGGAAGGTATGCTGGAGACACAAGCAGGGTTCCCTCCTTCTCACCACTCCCCACCCCACCACTCTACCCCTCAGGTGCACCCTGGGTGCCTGCACTTCCCTCTGGTTGGTACATCTGCCCTCCCCAAAGGAGAAGGAAAAGTGTGTTACACATTTGATTTTGCACCTCTATCGGACAAGACCCTGGCACTCCAGGTGGGGTGCATGGCACGGGGTGATTAGGGACATAGTCGTGTATCATAGAACTGCCTAGGCTGCAGAGGGAGGGCCCAAGTTCTAAAGGCCATCCTGAATAGACTGCCAGGCTGGAGAAGGCTCCCACTGAAGTAGGGGTGGGACTTTGGCATGGAAGGAGGCAACCTTCCCAACATGAGACAGACGGAGTTAGAAACCAGGGATTAATTTGGCTGGAACATGAGTTAGGAAGTGGCACCAGTAGATGATCTGAGATATCACTTGACAAAAAGGTTCCTCTGCAAGGAAAAGATGGAGCCCCCTACTGGGAGGTGGGGTAGGAAAAGGGCACTGTGAAGGGCCCCAAATAAGAGTAAGGCCAAGGCACATAAGAGCCTTGGAAAGCCAGAGGACAGAGCAGGGCATGAGCAGGAGGGCTAGCCTGAGAGGGACAACTGAATGCAGGAAGAGAGGACAAGGATGTAGGTACAGAGGGAGCATGGCAGCCTGGGGACAAGGCAGGAGGGGCCAGTCACAGGAAGCATGAGGGATGCCCCCACAGAGATGTTGGGGGCAGCTGGAAATGAAAGCCTAAGGTGCAGGAGAGAGGTCAGGAAGGAACATATGTGACATGGGAGAGGCTAGGGACCCAGAGGAGATTGGGGAGTCAGGGATGGGAGGGTTGCCAAGCCAAGATTGGCCCACCTCATCCCTGTACTTCGCCCTCCCCTCAAAGATCCCGACACTGGTAGAGGAGCTGATTGCGGTGGAGATGTGGAAGCAGAAAGTGTTCCCTGTGCTGTGCAGGCTGGAGGACTTTAAGCCCCAGAACACATTTCCCATATACATGGTGGTGAGTTGCTCCATTGGTTCATAGCCCCGCCCACCCCTTCAGAGGGCCCGGGACAAGAGAGGGTAGCTGGTAGCCCCTATCCCTCTCCCAGCAGCCCAGAGCCCTGTCCTCCTCTTTATCTGACAGATACATCATGAGGCCTCCATCATCAACCTCTTGGAGACAGTATTCTTCCACAAGGTGAGGCACCAGCACTGTCCAATGGCTACAGCTCCAGGCCAGGGCCTGGCAACAAGGGAGGTTGCGTGTGTGTGGGAAGGGCATAAGAGACAGAATGTTTCGCCTCCACCTATACCCCAGGAAGTGTGTGAGTCAGCAGAAGACACCGTCTTGGACTTGGTGGACTACTGCCATCGTAAACTGACTCTGTTGGTGGCCCAGAGTGGCCATGGTGGCCCTTCTGAGGAGGAGGAATCCCAATACAGCACCCCTATGCAGGTGGGCTGAGGTTCCCTGGGGTTGGCAAGGGCTCCCCAAAGCCTGAGTGTGTTGGGTAGGATTCGGGGTTCCACTTGAATACCTTGTGCCCCATGCCCCACCCCAGGAGCTGCAGAAGCAGGCAGAGCTGATGGAATTTGAGATTGCACTGAAAGCCCTCTCAGTGCTGCGCTACATCACAGACTGCATGGACAGGTGGGCAGCCCTGCCAGGACTGGGGCCTGCAGTGGAGGGCTGGGAGCCTGGGCCTGTAGCCTGTAGTCACCTCTCCATCCCCATCTGTAGCCTTTCCCTGAGCACCTTGAGCCGCATGCTCAGCACCCACAACCTGCCGTGTCTCCTGGTGGAACTGCTGGAGCACAGTCCCTGGAGTCGGCGGGAAAGAGGTAAGGTCCTCCTCCCCTGCCTAAGTCCCAGCTCACTTCTTCCAGGACATCCTCCTGGATTGATGGGGTGGACAGCTGGCACACAAGTAGACAAACTCTGCCCCCTAGTCCACAGAGAATATCAAGGTGCCCTCACCCAAAGTGGGCCTAGATCTGAACTGTGCAGAGGGCAAGGCCTCTCTGTCCACTGCTGAGGACTCACCCTGACCTGGAGCCAGCAGCACCCCAGCCTGAGCAAGTCCTGTGCCCAGGCAGTGGTCAGTCTGCTGGTCCACGCAGCTGACTCAGAGAGCATGCAACGCCTGCACCCAGTATGCTGATTCCTCTCCCCAGGCAAGCTGCAGCAATTTGAGGGTGGCCGTTGGCAGACAGTGGTCCCTTCAGAACAGCAAAAGCTGAGCAAATTGGATGGGCAGGTGTGGATTGCCCTGTACAATCTGCTGCTAAGTCCTGAGGCCCGGGCTCGCTACTGCCTCACAAGCTTCGCCAAGGGACAGTTACTCAAGGTAGGGAACCCCTCCCACGCCAGTCCCCACAGCCCCAGCACTGCCCCACCTCACCCCTGATGTTTATTTTTGCCCATCCCCCTCAGCCCCAGCCCTCTTTCCAGACACTGGGCCTCAGGTGACACTGCAGCTAGTGGGACATGGGCCCACAGGCACCCTCAGCCCAGCCCAGCCCAGCCCAGCCCAGGCATTCTCTGTTCCTTGACCCTCTGGTCAGCACTGCGTCACACTGGCCTCCCCGGACACCCTTGCAGCTTCGGGCCTTCCTCACAGACACACTGCTTGACCAGCTGCCCAACCTGGCAGACCTGCAGGGTTTCCTGGCCCACCTGGCTCTGGTGGAAGCCCAGTCTCCTAAAAAGGACCTGGTGTTGGAACAGGTAGGTACTAGGAAGGTAGTTGCTCAGGACCAATGCCCACTTTGTCAGCTCCTCCCTGCCATTCTCCTCTTCTCTTCCCCAGATGCCAGAAATCTGGGAGCGGCTAGAGCGAGAGAACAGAGGCAAGTGGCAGGCTATTGCCAAGCATCAGCTGCGGCATGTATTCAGCCCCTCAGAGCAGGAACTGCGGCTGCAGGCACGAAGGTGAGGCCTGCTGAGCTGGCTGAAGGGGTGGAAAGGATGCAGAGGGCATGGATGTGGGCAGGGGTGTTTCTCCCTCCACCCACCAGGCCCAGCCAGGTCCTCCTGACCCTTTTCCCAGGTGGGCTGAGACCTACAGACTGGATGTACTAGAGGCTGTGGCTCCAGAGCGGCCCCGCTGTGCCTACTGCAGTGCAGAGGCCTCCAAGCGCTGCTCACGATGCCAGAATGAGTGGTATTGCTGCAGGTGAGGGTATCCTAGGACCTTGGACCGTTAAGTCCCACTTCCATACTCCTCACAAGCACTGCATCCTCACCAGCCCACTTGCCTGCAGGGAGTGCCAAGTCAAGCACTGGGAGAAGCATGGAAAGGCTTGTGTCCTGGCAGCCCAGGGTGACAGAGCCAAGTGACGGCTGCAGCTGCTGAGGGCCAACCACCCATGCTATACAACCTACTAGAGTGTGCCCTGAACCTCTGGATCTCAGCCTGGCCTCTGCAAGCGCCCCAGTCTCCCAGGTGGTGAACACAGCAGGCGGGTAGAGCTGCTGACCCATCTTCCCCAGCAAAGCACTCCCCGCTTCCTGCCCCACCCGGCGGGTAGGCTTAGGACGCAGCCTCAGCAAGCTAGGGCAGGCGGCCTGGGCAGGGGGCGAGGGCCGAGGGCCGGATGTGGGGACCCTCTTCCTCTAGTACAGTAAAGTAAAGCTGGCTTCCAGAAACACGACTGTTTCCGCGTGGCCCTTTGCGGTCGTCGTCGTTGTCTTCGTCGTCAGGGGGAGGGGAGTTGCTGGCGGGATGAAGGGAGGATAGGAAATGGAGGGCGGGGACTCCGCGAGAGCAGCGCCTCGCCGCCCCACTCCGCCTGCGGGCCGACACAGCCCAGGCGCCCAGGTTTCCATTGCGCC